TTCTGCATCAGAAGATATTAGCTTTCATGTTAAAATATGTGAATTAATATTTATTAAGATATGTTATGTTAAGGCTTTCATAAGAACGTTTATGAGGTATGTTAAGCTATGTCATATTTTTTCAAAATTGTTAAGGTATCTTAGTTTAGTGTGTTCATGTTAAGATATGTCAATTTAATACTTTCATTTAAGATATGTTAAAATTTCTCCTTTATTTACATATATGTCACTACCTTCTGGCGAGACATTCGATCAAACAACAAAAATCATCCAAAGCCTATGAGATGGTTCCCATGCATTGTTCTCACAAAAGATAAACTTCACATAATTCCAAGTATATATATATATATATATACATATATATATATAAATATACATACGTATGTATGTATCCATGTATTTACATATGTATGTATACATAGAGAGAGTGAGAGATGAACGCTACTCCTTTTCGTAAGAACGTTAGAAAAAGTGAATGTATCATTATATTGTGTAATACGATAATACAGGGACGGACCCAATTTTTTTTCAAACGGCGATATCATTTGACTAAGAAATGACACTAAAAGGGTTTCAAACTTTGGTCTAGGATGGAATAAAAGTCTTGCAAACCAACTCTACCAAATAAAACTTGTTCTCCTCATAGATTCAAAATACAAACGGTGACGCACAACAAATTATTACGGTTGCACCTTTTACGAACCTAATTTTTTTTACCCTTCGACGGAAGAATAATATAGTGACACGTGCCACCGTATGCACTATAATAGGTCCGTCCATGCGATAATACATTTATGTTGTATGAATATATAACATTCATACATATAATATTAACATCCAATGCAGAGTTGAAAGTGAGGTAAAAATCTACAATCCTTCTAAAATATAATGTAAGACTAATGTCATATAATAATATTTTCATTTAATTTATTTTCTCACGGAAATAAAATTTTCTTCCATCGTTTTAAGTCTATACAAACATATATCATCTTTATGTTTGTTCATTGGCTTATTCAAATGATATATTATAATGAAGTTCATCCTGTTTTGCATTCATCATCCATGGTTTTTAGTCAAATAGAACATGTATAGGTTTGGTAAGGATATAATTTTATAATTAAGAAAATATTAATTGATAAAAGGAAATAAGTATTTTGTGTTATATATAAATGATGGCTGAAATGATCGTGAAAAGGTGGCTACTTTTTAAATTGTTTAAATATCATTTTACTTTTTTCTTGGTATCTTTTTTAATCCATTTAAAAATGGGGGATGGTTGGCATGAAATGGAAAGAGTAGACTTTGGCTGTACCTTGATTGATCAACTCATGTGAACCAATATTCTTATGTGACATTGAGGTAGGGTTATGCTCAATTTGCTACATATTATTAAATAATAGGAGTCTCACGGAATCAATATAGAGAAGGAAAGGTTATCAAACGATAATATGATTAAAAAAATGGAAATATGAGAATCATTATATCATATCTTGTTATCCTTTCTCTTTCATTAATTTAATGATGATCTTTTTTATCTTACGAAATATAGTATTTATATTATTCAGTTTTAACGATCATCATTGAGTATGTTTAGTAATCGCTGAACATTTATTGTAACTCTTTCAGAGACTATCATACTTCAAGAATACAAAACTCACATCAAAGAACCTTCACCAATGTCGAAGACAGAACTGAAGATTAGAGACCAGCAGTTCGCAATCTCAAGCGACATTCAGTGATTACAAGCTCGTCTAAATTACATATGTAGTCTGCACAAGTTTTCTGCGAATGCTGATGAGACCCTCCAGCGTTATCCTAACATTTAGCGATCAAATGAAGCTTGCCTTGCACTGTTGTTTTTGTCTTGTCCTCCTTCACACAAAGGACAATCACATACCTTTCTAGAGTATAGTATCCATTACGTTGACTCTATAGTGCTTACTTATTTTATGAAGATGACTGCTCATATACAGCCAAAAGAACTGTTTACTGTAGCAAATGACAAACTTTTCTCCAAAAGCTTGACACATGTTGTGTACATTCTTGCATTAGATGCATTGGGTATAAATAGATGAGTGCTTTCTACTAAGTTATCACTTCTTCATCTCTAAGAAACTTACCCAAGAAGATACTTTCCTCTCTCTACTCTAATATTAAGAGAAAGATCCAAGTGAAGAGCATTTACATTTTCTTATTTCTTTGTAGCAAATCTTTTTTCTTTACTATTTTGTAATTGTGTAAACCTTAAATTATTTAGATAGGTTTCTTTACCTTATCTCTTCCGCAAACAATCTGTAAAATTTGTATTGATCTTTCTTTATCAATATATACTTTTTAAAAGTGAAAGTTTTGGTGTTTGTATTCATCTCTCCGCTTCTACAAACTGATTACCTATAACTCTTGTACATTCAGCTGGGACCAACAAGTGGTATCATAGTTGAATCTGCTTTTTGTGTTGTTTTATTGGCATTTTATTATCTTTTTTTCTCTAGATAATTTATTCCTTTACAAATGGCTTTACAAAACAATGATAGTGTGTGCTCAAATCCCGGACCCAACAAAGTATCCTGAAATGCACGAGCTTGTGATAATTACACATGATGCATGGTCCTTGCGGTTATTCATGGCCGTCTAGCCCTTGAATTGAAGGTAAGCTGAGAAATTGTCGTTCTAGATATCCTCACCAATTCAACGACAAGAGGGCGCAAACAGATAACTCATATCTGATGTATTGGAGGAGAAACAATGGAATAAGGTGAACGTTCGAGGCAATATCCTTGATAATAGATGGGTGGTCCCATATAACCCAAATATGCTAATGATGTTCAACTGTCACATCAATGTTTAGGTTTGCTTAAGTATAATATGTGTGAAATATGTCTTCAAGTATGTGAAAGAAAATAAGAAAATATGTTTCATATATGAAACACACACACACACAAACAAGAAGAAAACATGGAAACAATATGAATTATAATTTAATAAAGCAACTCATTCATCTCTCCCCTTCTATAAACTGATTACCTATAACTCTTGTAGATTCAGCTGGGACCAACAAGTGGTATCAGAGCTGAATCTGCTTTTTGTGTAGTTTTATTGGCATTTTATTATCTTTTTTTCTCTAAATAATTTATTCCTTTACAAATGGCTTTACAAAACAATGATAGTGTGTGCTCAAATCCAGGACCTAACAAAGTATCCTGAAATGCACGAGCTTGTGATAATTATACATGATGCATGGTCCTTGTGGTTGCCGTCTAGCCCTTAAATTGAAGGTGAGCTGAGAAATTGTCGTTCTAGATATCCTCAACAATTCAACGACAAGAGGGCGCAGACAGATAACTCATATCCGATGTATTGGAGAAGAAACAATGAAATAAGGTGAACGTTCGGAGCAATATCCTTTATAATAGATGGGTGGTCCCATATAACCCAAATATGCTAATGATGTTCAACTGTCACATCAATGTTGAGGTTTGCTCAAGTATAATATGTGTGAAATATGACTTCAAGTATGTTTACAAGGGTCATGACAAACAGGTTATTCATGTCGATCCTGATAGAGATAAGGTCATTATTAACGAGATAAAGAGATTTTAAGATGCACGATATGTTTCGCCACTTGAGGCAATTTGGCCGATTTTTAGATTTACACTTTCTCAAATCCACCCTTGTATGATGGCTTTGCAGGTCCATCTTCCGAATAAGTAGTTGGTTAGGTTTAAAGAATGACAGATACCGTTGATATAGAGAGGGATAAGAGCTCAATGTTGACCGCATTTTTTGAGAGGAATAAAACAAATAAGATTGCAAGACAATATTTATACAAAGATTTTTTGAAACATTATACATGGAATGCCAGTTCACGTAAATGGAATCCTTGAAAACAAGGGTCAATGAAAAGGGCAACTGGTTTATGCTAATCCTGCCGAAGGGGAACAATATTATCTACGCCTACTTCTGTCTTATATTAGTGGGCTTACGTGCTTTAAATATCTTCACACAATTAATGGCATATTACATCCGACATTTCAAAAAGCATTTATTGAGAGAGAGTTAATAGAGACCAACGATAATTTATCGCATTGTCTTGCCGAGGCCTCTTTATTTCAGCTTGTCCACAGACTTTCCTTTTTCAACTGCAGAGAAACGTTGATTTAATGGATGCTTAAGATGCTTAGATGTTTTAGATTTAGATGAGCATTTATCAGGAAATTCCATAAGAGAGAGAGAGGGAGAGAGTTAAACACACAGTCGACAGGAACATTATCAGATACAGAGTTAGGATTTTTAGCTTTGACAAAAATTCCGAACTTAACAGATTATCCATTATCACTAGATCTAGAAGAAAGAGATCCAACAGAATCATATAAAAGAGATGAAGAGGAGGAAGAGTGAATGTGAGAAGAAATGCACATAGAGTTATCAGGAGCACACAGATCTAGATCATCATAACCTAGGCCAGTCTTTATTTCACTAGGAAGTTGATAATGTAAGATTTTATCTAAGTTCTTGAATGATCTAGTCCATTTTTGAAGAATGGATTTTTCTTTCTCCAGCTTCTCGTAGACCTTAGTTTTTTCTTTGTTAAGAACATTGTTTATTAACTTTTGTTGTTTCAAGTCATTTTTCAACTTATCAAAGTGTTTTAGTTGATTCATGCATTTATGTAACTGACTAGTTAGACTTTTGATTTCAAGGTCATCTTTCTTTTTAGCAGATCTAGCATTGTAAAGATCAACAGATAAAGAATCAAAAGCTTGAACCTTTTCAGATTCAGAGAGAGAAGAGAAGTTGTTTACCTTCTTTGGTTCGACCAGATCTTCGGCATCCTTAGAGGTAGAAGGTACATCAGCAGCAGTAGTAGAGGAGGATCCCTTGACAGAGTCTTCTATCTCCCGAATTTGGCCATAAGGCACAGATGTGCCATGTCCTTATCACTGAAGGAAGAGGTTGGCTCATCAATCCAGTCATGAGTTACAACCATGAGCCCCCCTTACCTTTTCTCTGAAAGCTCTGGTTCTTTGCTTTTTCTCTCTTGTACTTTGCTTTGTACTTGTCATGAGAGGATCGGCTAGAGGGTTGAGAAGTATGATGCTTAGAGATCTTTGTGCTTTTGCACTCAGCAGAAAAATGACCTTTCTTTCCACAGTTGAAACACTCCTCATTGGACACATCAAGAGGAGCTGACTTAGGTTGATCTAATATTCTACGGTTAGTGATCTTAGATCTAGGAGAGAATTTAAAAGAACCCTTTTTGGCATACCTTTTGAAGTTGGTAGCCATCATGGCCATGTTCTCAGCTAAGTCATTAATTATGGGTTCAGCACCCTCATCATCAGCATCATTAGCATAGTTTTCAGCAAATTCTTCTTTTCTGACAGGACCTTCTTCAGACTCAGTCAGATAAGTGATACGAGGTTCACTGATAGGCTTCCTCGTATCATTGCAGAGAAGAACAACAGGAGAAGTTTTGGGATCCTTTAATAATGCCTTTTTGAGAAGCTTGATTTGCTCATAATTATGGAGAGTTCCATAAATAGCAGCGACAGGCATATTTTCAAGATCTTTACTTGTCTTCATTTTCATTGACTCTGCCATGAATCTTCAGATCTTTAAGGAGGTTGTTAAACCTGTTGTAGTACTCAGTGAGAGATTCACCTTTCCCATGCACAAAGAGCACATATTGCCTAACGAGGTCAATCTTCTTGCTTTTCTTTACTTTGATGGTTCCTTCATACAGAACACAAAGAGTATTCCACATGTCCTTAACAGTAGAGAGGTTTACCAAGGAGTGGAAAACATCATTAGGAAGATAGAAGGCAATGATAGCCTTTACATTGGTAGCCAAGGAAACTTTCCTTTTGTCATATTCATTGTTACCGTGAAGGATCTTTGATGAAGAACCTTCCAATAAAGTCAGATTTCTCTTTATCATCATTAGAATTATTTGAAGAGTCACCTTCATGTTTGTTCTTTCCATGATGAAGCCGTACTTTTGGAACAAGGGGTCCATCCATAAGGATAGAAAGATATTGACAATCAACACCCTCAAGGAAGAGTGTCATATGACTTTTCCACATAGGAAAGTTGTTCTTGTTGAACTTAGGAGGCTTGGCAATAGTGCCATTGTCGTGCTAAGAAGAAGGAGCAAAGTTGGAAGAAGAAGAAGAGGCCATTGCAGATCTAGCTTATAAGATTAACCTAACCGCTCTGATACCACTTGTTAGTCCCGAAGGGGATGACAATAAACAGAAAGTAATTGTAGAAGGGGGTTGAATACAATTACATAGACTTTTTTTAACTTTTTAATTTTTATTGATGTATATCAATAATTAACACACAGAGATACAAAAGATTGTTGCGGAAGATAGGAAAGGAAAACCTAACCTAAACAATCTTACAAGGAGAAGAACTTACAAGAACACTAAAAAGAGTTCTTGAAAGGAAATGAAGAACACTAAGATTTTCTTCGCACACAGGAGAGCAAGGGAGTAGAAGAGAATAACCAATTGCCTTAAGAATGCACTTAGTAATCTTTCAAAAAGCCAGTAGTATGCATGGGAGATGCACACTGCCATTTATACTACCTTCAGTATTAAATGCATGGAGACACTTGTCACCCGAGGATAAGAAGGCAAGGGTTGACTTGACCATTGATATCTCATTTTCATCGTACACAGCGTGCACAAAACATTGTTCATGCAGAGACAAACTTTTGCAGAGATATGGTCAGTCTATAGCAACGATACCACTGAGAATGAAAGTAGAGAACTATTATCTTGAATCGAGAAGGTTGAAGGTTGAAGGCATCAGATATAGAAGTTTCAATCGTCAGGGATAAAGGAACAACTGATTAAAGGGAAAGGGATATGTAAAACTAATTACCTGAGCAACCATAAGCATTCGGCTGGAGGAAGGATTTGAAGAAGCTATGGAGAAATCAAAAAACCTCAAAATTCTGGTTATATGCACCGATGAGGTCTTTTTGGGAACCGTCATTTGTGCAAAGTTTGCAGCAATTGAAAAAAGCATATAGCTGACCTTACTAATTTGCTTTTGGCACAGGAGGATTCATGAAAAGGAAGAAGAAGCTAGGAAAAGGAAGAAGAACGGACAAAACCATTTTGGCCTTACCCAAACTGGTTTTTTTTGGGGGGGGGGACTTTCTGGAAATGGAAGAGAACAGAAAAAGAAGGTCTGACCATTTGCTATAAACTCAATGCATAAAAAACCTGTACCACATGCTTGATGTGTTGCAATTAAGAGTCTTTTGAAAATCTTGCATAAAATGGTTGTAACTTGTGTTTAAAGACTTTGTCTTAAATGCTTATGATACGTACTAAGTATTTAGTACGTAAAGTACCTTTTTATTCTCTTTTAGATAGGTTATTTTCTATTCATATCCCAACTTTGAGTCATTTTATCTCTTTTMTCTDTTTTTATGCTAAGAAGAATGATGAACCTGTTTTTAGTGGATTTTGGTCTAAATTGATCTTATTTTGGACAGATTGGAGCAGGTTGATGCTGTGGAAATGTG